AAAAGTACTCTAAACTATATAAATAATGTAAAATTAAATTGAATTTATTAGCCAATCAGACGAACTTCTGCCTATGAGCTGGAACCTTTTTTTTTTTTTACAATATGTTGAATTGTTACGCAGTTATTTCTTACGTAAACGATTACTGTGCCATAGATTTACTAAACTATATCGATGTGATCATTCAAGTATATTGAACGAAGATTATACATAATTTCATTAAAAAACTCGAGTAGCGATAAAGTATTGTTTCAGATTAAAAAAAAATAATTTCAATAATAGGAATGCTTCTCATTATATAATAAACCTTATATTGGTACAATTAAAGATTGGATCCCTTGAAGAAATCTTCACCTGGATAGCCGTATACAGTAATAACGAACAATTTCTATCCAGGTTCTCTGTCTAATTCGCTGGAACTACATATACAACTTGCTTTTAAAAAACAAAATATATGTAGCTTTTTATATATTTAAAACCAGGTGGAACCTTGCATTCAAGAAGAATTTAGTAAAAGTTGCCCTTAGAAGCATGCACTCAAATGTTGACTGTAATTTAATTTGATTTATATTTTACTGTTAATTGAATAATTTATCTTTCGAACCATTTAATAATAAACTTGAAATTTTTACTGTATGCAAAAATCTTTTTTCATGGGAATGAATTAACCTAGTACTTTACCTATTTTGCCAATGGCGGAAAGAAATATCAACGAAAGGAACCGTAATGAAACATATGTATAGTCAGACTCCATAATCCCTCTATATAAGCACATCATATAAAATTCTCTTTATAAGCGCACCTATTTTAAATTATTATAAATATATAATCTCTATATAAGCACTTTTTTTAAACAAGTACTATGAGATCATAGGAGGTCTTATTATATATTTGCATATCAAAACACCATAAGACTAAAATGCTGATAGAAAATAACAAGTTTAAGAAGTAACCATTTTATTATCAAAAAAATAATCTCCTACAACATAAAAGTACACATTTAATATAGAGTATACATGAAACTACAAACTATTTTATACTAATTACACAAATAAAATAAAATAAAATAAAATAAAATAGATATATAATAGTAAATAGATAAGTAATTACACTAATTTAAAATCGAATTCAATGGGATAATGATCAGAGACACGTTTTGCAGATTTCTTGACCAAATCGGGATCCTTCTTGATTTTATCTGCCCAACCATCATCGAATCTCCATATCCGGACATCTCCAACCCATTCATCCTTGTTGTTCGACTCAAATACAAATCTATCATAGGCAGCATCTCCGGAGGCAACGGTAGTGTCACTTTTATGATCAATCCCCCAAGTCAATCCACGTTTCTCTAATAATTCATCGATTTCTCCACGCTCTGTTTTATTGAGATAGGAGCCTGATGCATTAAAATCTCCCATTAAAACTATAGGTTCACTACTTTCACTATCAGCATCTCTTGTTTTTTCATGCGTTGTATCCTTTTCAACATCAGGTCTAAAACAACAACATAAAAAATTAAAAAGTGAAAGTAATTTGCTTGATTTCTCTTTTCTTTCTGGCCTAGATGGTTGAGGAATACCCCTCATTTTTTGTTCTAATTTCTTCTTTACTATAGGATATACACTAGTAACTAATGCTTTGATTTCCTTGTATGCTTGCTCTGGTTGAGTATGGCAACCAACAAGATTAATCCTCACATCAGAATGTTTCTGATGTTGAAATCGAGCGACAAAAGGTTCTCGAATAAATTGATCTCCCAATTTGGTATCATCAATTACATAATTATCAATCACTTTCCAATCATTTGTTTTATATAGATAAAGATACCTTTCTTGATAAGAATTTCTACCTATGGGTTCAGACATAACATAAGAATAAGATGTAGATGATGATGATATCGATTTAACAAGATTGTCAATCATTTCTTCTTTGCCTTTTGGCACATGAACCTCTTGACAAAGGATAATATCATAATGTTGAAGAATATCAATAATAATCTTCATTACATCTTTATCGGCCATTTTTTTGACACCAAACGCTTGGATATTCATCGATCCAATTATGCAAGTTTTCTTAGTACTCACGTTTTTATTTAAAGAAGATGGCAATGGTACTTTTCTTAAGATCTCATTTTCGGCCTCGATGGCAGCCTCTTTTTCGGCATCGGTAAGATTTTCTTTCTTTTTATTTTTTTTATTTTCGTCACCTGTCGACTCTTGTTGCTTTTTAGGTTTTTTGTTTTCTTTGTCATCCGAATCTTGATGTTTTTTAGACTTTTTATCTACTTCAATAGAATCGGCATTATCATTGCCCGCATCTTTCTTCTTTGATCGACGACCTTTAGTTTTAGGTTGAGAGTCAATTTCTTCATCACTCACAGATTCATCCGAATCTTGATGTTTTTTAGACTTTTTAGAATTGTCATTATCATTATCCGCATCTTTCTTCTTTGATTGACGACCTTTAGTTTTAGGTTGAGAGTCGATTTCTTCACCACTCACAGATCCATCAGATGGTACATAATCATCATCTTTCTTTTTCGTTGACATGATTTAAAAAATGTTTTGATTTTTTAAAAAGATTACGAATGAAAGGTAGAATAAATTTCAATGAACTTATGTATGTATATGCATGTATATGTTACATCTCTGCCAAAGAATCGAGTTTATCGTACCACATATCGATATATTGTTACATATCCGTGTGCATGTATACGGTTTGTAAACACTTTTTTTGAAAAGACGGAGATAAAAATTATTCATGTATAGTATCAAATGTCCATTTCTGAGTGTTTCACATACAATTTTCGTTTATGCACGCATCGTTTTTTAGTAAATACTATTTAAAATTTCATCATATATTCACAATGGTAATGACCAATTTTTTATAATAATAGTTCTAATGAAGGAAGGAACAAATCTTATTTTGTGAAAAAGAAAATTCATCTGTTTTAGTAGAGATAGGCTGAGTTAAATACGTACGCCACGCCCGATTTTCTCTTCTTTATGTAATATATAGAAAAACTCGGGCGTCACTTTTGCGGGTGACTGTACGTGACCTAGATTTAAATTATAGTCTATCCGGCTAATTCTAATAAAAGACTAGATCTGGTTTTGGAGGGCAGAATTAGCAGCTAAGCCTATGAATTTTGATCCAGTTGGGCTGGCTAAAAATTATACTAGAACTATTTACTTAATTATCTGTTATATTAATTGATTATACGTAAAACTTAAAATAAAATAAAATAAAAATAAGAATAATATGTAAAAAGTTTGTAATATAAGTTATACGTATTTTGCATATTTTATTTATTTATACATTGAGTTAAATAAATTCTTAATAAATGTTTTTCATACTTCAATGCAACATCTTAAATACAACTTTGAGGCCTGGCCTAATACGTATACTTGATCTCTGTAATTGCAATTTTTCTTATTCTATACATTTATAGGATCTTTATAAGTTGTACTTAGAGAAGTTTGACTGTATCTTAGATCTCATTTAACTTTACATATGTATATTGTTAAAGTATATATTTATATTTGGACAAAAGTATTTTCTTAAATTAAATCTCATTTATGTTTTTTAAAAAATCCAACTATTTGAAAAATTTGGCTGAAAGTATAATTTTAATATCCAGTAGAATTAACAATAAAAATTATAATTTTTTAGTCAGCTAAACTATTTAAGTAGCCAATATCAACATTATCAGAAGGTCAACATATATCTATTTATAGGTAAATTTGGATTTCGAATCCAGAACTAACAAGTTTATTTCAGATCTTGAAAATAAAATATCCTTAAGATTTTAATCGATATTTCTTCATTAAAAACAAGTTTTTACAATCTATATATATTATAACTAGCACAAATGTAAAGTAATTCTTACCGCATTTTTGCAAAACAATCCACGCGTTATTTTGAATATACATGTTATTTCGAGTACGCGCATATGCGATAAAGGCTGATGCGTGTTATTTTGGACGTCATTTCGAAGTCATGCATGTTACTTCTAGGTTGTACGATTTTTTAAATAATGCTCATGGGCGTTATTACGTGAGGATGACCTATAATATAGGTGAGCAAAAGTTAGGCAGCAAGTTATCAAATCACACATATTATCTGTTATGATTGGCGTAATTTTTGAATATTAAAAATTCAATTACGCGTTGTTCAGGGAAATAATTTCTTGTAATTATGATTGTCAAAAATTTTTTTTCTTTGCACCTTTTAAGCGAGTTGTAAAATCAAGTTGTACGGATTATTGCTAAGTTCCACTTAATTGAAAAAATTGAAAATTATCTATATTGTTTCCATAAATGACTATTTTTATTGCGTATTTGCGCGTAATAACCTCATAAACATTACTAAAAACGGCGTGCACGGCCTCGAAGCCCTCATACGCCTTTATCTATACTCTAATTAAAAAAAGAACATTCACAACTATATACATATATAGCTGCCGTCAATAAAAATCAGGCAGATTGACATTTTAAACAACGTTAATGCCTTAACTTTCACAGCTCATATCTCGATGAATTTGAAGCTAGTTTAGTTATTTAATATTCAAAAGAGTCCTTGGGGTCTAAGCTTTCTTTTGACTATTAAATCATTAAAATAGTTTCAAAATTCATCGAGATATGAGCTGTGAAAGTTAAGGTATTGATTTTTTTAAAAAGTCAATCTGCCTGATTTCTATTGATGGCAGCTCATATGAGGAATTATTTACACCAAAGTAATAAAATAGAGTTGAGAGCAACCTACTATATTTAAAAATTTTTAATGAAACAACAAATCATATATAAGAAATGAATTACTAAAAAGCTTTCTGTTCTGTAGAAGTGTTGCCCTTTAAACACTTCAAGCTCATTTAAGCTCATTTTTGAGTCTATTTTTCATAGATTTATACCTGCAGACTTATAATATTTGATTTTGTTTTTTTCCAATATAAGTAGCTTGCATCATGGTAGTATTTAAAAAGATTAATATATTGTTCAACTTTGAGATAGTTTAATATATTGTTCAACTTTGAGATAGTTTAATATATTGTTCAACTTTGAGGAAGATTAATATATTGTTCAACTTTGAAATAGATCAATAAAACTAACTTTGGAATAAATCATATTTAAATTTTTCCAATAATGCATTTTTAATTTTCAACTCAGAAGCTTAGCGTTAGCGACAGAGTAACCTCAAAAAATTGATATTCGGAATGATAATCTTCTTGCTAGTCATGGTCGTTTAATATAATCATGGTATCTTAATTTTGCTTTTTGAGTTACAGTCAACCCTCTGTAAATGCACCCTTTGGGACTATAGGCATTTAGAAGTGTACGTTTACAGAGGGCATTTTATTAAGTGCTATATACTTGAGACTGAAGATTAGCGTGCATTTAGAGAAGGTATACATAGTGTGTGCATTTATAGAGGGTTGACAATTTTTTCACAATTTTAGGAGTGGTCATTAGGTAGAAATTTCATTTTAGTGCTAATATTCATTATACATAGATAATTCCGCGGATGTTTGAAATTTACCTTTATCCAAAATCCCAATTATTTTTAAAAAATTAGATTCTTATTTGACACTTCTGGTTCATAGTTATATAAAGTCCGATATATAGAACTTGTATTTAAACTCCAAACTTATTAAAAGGGTAGATAAAGATGGGGATTGAAGTAAAGGTCAAATCTCTCAAATCAGCCGAATTTTATACAAAGTATATATTGTCTAGACTTTGTTTCGATACGTTCAGCTTTTGTAGAAGTTCTTGCTCTTGATCCTCGTAGAACTTCATATCACCTTTAGCTTCTGTATAATTAATAGTAATAATAAAATCGAGAATTATAAAAATAAAAATATATACACAGTACAATAATTTCTGAAACAGAGCGGAGGAACTTAAGCCCAGACAATGGGCAAAAAATTTTCAGTATGGGTTCCGTGTAGGTTCCAGAGTGTAAAGTAAAATAAAACTAATAGTATCAGTTATTTAGCATAGAGTAACTTCGAAAATTTATTAGCAAGCACAAAGTTGCGCTCGGAATCAGTTTCCTAATCTATAACGAACCTCATTTTTTTAAATTCTATTCTTTGATTTGAAGTTATGAGCACTTAAATAGATTCGGAATCCACTTAAATGGATTCTGAAGTCACATGCTTTCAAATCCGCCCACAACATATATTGAGATCAATTCTTTGTTTGGTAACAGTAACAAAAGAATCTTTTAATATCGATTTCTTTCGAAAAGCAGTTTTACGTATCCTAAAGGTTATAACCGTTGGCTAATTCTTGTACATTGTGTAACAAATTGTATGTGATCCTATCATTCAAGAATATCTCTAGAGCACCATTGACGTTAATACATCTCTTTACGTATCCATTTACTTTGGTATATAAACTCTCAGCCGTTATGTACAAGTTCCGCACACCTTATATAAGCCATCGAATGATGCGGACAAAATCCCCACAGCCATATCAAGATGAGTCTGGCACAGTTCAAAAGCAAGACCTCAAAAAAAAGATAGTATCGGGTTGTTCTTTTTAAGTAATTATTTTCTCAGCGATTCTCTACATTTCGTGTTTATCCTTTCCGCCCTTATTAATATCTTATGCTCACAAGAGCATCTTGACAAAATTAGAATTCATGCCGGTACATACACTTTTGAAGTTTATGCAACTTCTAATGTCTTATTAAGGATGTAAACCATATTTACCAAATAAAGTAATTGTGTCTTGGTGTGTCGGATGACCGTTATACAATCGGGTTTAAATAAGAAATAAATTGTTTTTGGCCAATGCACACAAACCTGCTTTTCCCCTACCTTAAAAAATTTACCAAAGTTTCGCGGTAATTAAAAGTCATAATGGAGGATAATAGCCTAACAGGGCATAAACCATACAAAAAAGACGGTGGAACAATTCTTCTTCCAAAAACAGATCAAACTCGAAAACTTATAACTCGGATATTAACGAAACTAAAGAAAAGAAAAAAACCTCCCTCGGCAATCAATTCTTTTATTTCTGAATCAACCAGTCCGTTTAATGCCGAGGAATCTTGTGATTTACTGAATCAATTAAAAGACGTTTTATTAGTTTGTGAATTGCAAGGAATAAATTTTGCACATAGGTAAGTGGATGTTTAACTTAAATTATGTGTTAATATCTGTTTGAATGATTACATTAAATTTTTTAATCATTTAAAGATCTCCATATGCGTCACGAGATCCTTCACCAAGTCGTTCACATTCACCATATTCATCGAATAAAAAAAAAAGTCCCGGAATTCTCGAAATTATTTTGGAAGTTTTGAATGACATGGTTCAAAATGATTGTCGATATAAAGTTTTAAACCCAAGACTTACTCGACCACCCAATGCTTTACAATCAATTGTACTGGACGTCGCTCATCTTTTGATCAACCAAAATCCTCATTCAGCTAGTTGGTTATATGAATTGGGTATGACATTGATCCCTGGATTCAACTGCTTCAGTGACGCCTTACGTTCAAGATTGTTAAAATTTTATAGTGACTTTTTGATTCCTCAATTAAAATCCTTACAAAATGGTCATATTAATGCTGCTGTATCAAAACTTATATCTAATAATAATATTAATTCCACTGTTAATTATTTGACTGGTAGGATAAACCAAATTTTTGATTATTTTTTAAATTATGCTATTTAAATTCATATTTATTGATAAATTTAATCTCTCATATATCTTAGAGAATGAGAACTCTTCACATATAAACATCACAATAAATGCTGAACACGTACCAATCGAAGTTGGTCGATCAAAATTTGGAAATTCATCAAATACAAACTTGGATGTTTCCGACAATGATCACAGCATGAGACATAGGCGGACCGCTAAGCAACTGTCCATTTCATCTTCTGATGATTTATGTATCGATGATTATTATACTGATTCAATTTTTACACCACTATTGTTTTCGATCTTTCAATTCATTACTATTGAAGAGTCTTCTCTAGAAACATTGTATCAAATGCACCGTACTTTTGGAATAATGATCCATCATAAACCAGGTTTATATTATGACATAATGGAAATAATAGCTTACGGTGATGCATCAAGTCGTAGTCTTGCTTTGAATATTTTATTTTATTTTTGGAATAATAGTACTGGACATCCTTCTGTTGGTGAAGTTCTACCATGTGTTGGGTATATTGTGGATTTACATACCAAAGAATTTTATAAAAGTAAAGGTATTCCAAGAAAGATAAATATAAATCAAAAGAAAGCTTCAATTAATGTTGAAGATATCCATTTACACCAACTCTTTTCACATATATTTCATAATGATATGGATATGTATGCGGTAAAAGATAATAAGAATACCTCATTAGCTGATGAATTTTTATCTACAAATCATCCTAATACATGTGCACAATGTTCAAAACCAGTATTTGGTTTTGGTCTACGTTGTTGGGGTTGTAAATTAAGTCTTCATTTTAGATGTTATAATTCGTCCCATGGCGGATTTCAAGCAGAGTATCCTTTGAATTCTGGTGTTCATAAATTAGCCACCCCAAAATATTGTGATATCATTCGTAGTAAAAGAGAATGTATCTTTAAAGGGTGCTTTCAAGGCGACAATTCTGATTTGCCAACTATTTCAGAAAATATTGCTGGCCATAAATTCTATCTTGTCAACCTTTTTACCTTAACATTATGTACAGTTTGTCATTTGCCTTTATGGGGTATGATGTATCAAGGATATAGATGCGAATTATGTAATCGGTTTATACATTCAAGTTGTTTGAACTCCAAACATCTAGAAACAAAAGCTCGTTGCCAAATGTCTTCTATGAGTGAAAGTGATGTGCTTATCGAGCATGAAGACCTATGTCAAGACTTTCGCAAATATTTTGACCATATATTGATTCTAGAAAATGCTATACCATTACATACTTATGAAGAGTTATCAATGATGCACATAACCTTACTAATACAAGATAATATTCTGCAGAACGGTATAATGGCTGGTTGCCTTGTTATAAAACAAAATAACTATAATCCTTTGACTTCAACATCAGAAAATTTTGAAAGGTTTGAACTTCAAGAAACCATTGATCTATACAAATCATATCTAGATGATGGCAAACTGTCTTTGTGTTCATTGTCAGTTGAATATTGGGATGCTATTAAAAAGAAATCTCACCCATGGATGATGTTATGTGAAGATTACCTTGCTTATTTAGTTTTGGCAATTAAGTCACCAAATTATATTGAACCTTCAGAACAAGATTATATCGATCAACATCTAAGTGTATACGGTCCAGAAGCGAATATCTCATCATCGAAAGGTGCTTCAGATAATCCAGACAGAATTTTAGCTACACATGAATTAATCAAATGGGTTCAAGAAAACATCGGATTCCGTAATATCTTCACGACAAAAATAATTTTACAACAACTTGTTAATATTGGATTTCTTGAAAGAATTGACGGACATCCTATATTATTTGGTGAAGATGATCCTGAAAAGAATATAGTTGAATGTTCGCTTCCTCTGCCATTCGCGACAGAATGCTCTTCAACAGTCGAGACTCTTTTAACTGCAATTTCTTCATGCTTATCAGATGTAAATATATCGATTAATGAGTGCGGATTTCTTCTCATGACGCGACGTTGTTGGCCTGGTCCTTTCATGTCCAAATATGTTTTAGAACGGCTGGTTTATTCGATTATTGAATGGATGAATGATGAAGATGAGAGGTTATTGATAATCGGGAAAGAATACACTGCTGCACGAAAATTACCAGGGGTTCGTGGTGAAATTGAAGATAATCAACAGCAGAAAGGATACTTGCAAAATTCTGTTAGTGGAGGTGCTTATGTGATAAGTCGTAAAATGTTAAAAGAGAAATATATTTTGCAATGGTTATCTGCAGTTCACGAATTGGATGAGGAACTATTTTGTGATATTTTTTACAGCCAGATAAAAATGGTTTACGAGAACCAAAATCAGCAAGAAGATATTGATACAAATGTAGGTCCATTTTAATAATAAATAATGTTAAAACAGATGGATTAATATATTATATTATACTTTATATTTAGAACGATTTCCAGTTTCATGACCGTATGCTCAAATGTATAATTAGACTCTGGAACGAAGGCCTGCTTTTTACTTCATTTAATGAAATAGTTTCCAGATGGTTAGACGAAGTTTATCAGATAATGAAAAATCAACCCCAAGTAATTTTTTTTATCATATTAATCACATTTTTATGAAATTAGGATGGAAAGTATTTCAATATAATTTAAAAAATAATTATTATTTTAAGAAATTTGTAGAAATACGGACATTGAGTAAAGTTTTTGGCCCGGTAAAAAACACTGCTCAACGAAAGAATCATGTGGATCAAATAACTGTAGCCACAGAGAATAACAATGCTAATGCTAACATTGACCCTATAGACACAATTACCAAATTATTTAAAAATAATAATGTACAATTATCAAGAGCCTTGCAATGGATAGAATTGATGGTGCGTGCCGGGTAAGAAAAATTTTGTTTAATATTTACTATGACCTTATAAAGCTTATTAATTTTACCGGTATATTTAGAGTCGGTCTTCCTGGCACAATATTCTCAGATTATATCTCATTATTAGTAAATGTTTCGCCAACACTTGATCAGTACACAACCTTCTTGCAAATTATTTGGCACCAGGTTATGACAGGTCTAGGAAATATTATTCAACGTGGTATTATTCTTAAAATTATATCCGATACAAATGAAGCAACTGTCGACATAATAAACAAAATAAGCAAAAAAGGCAAAGGCACAGAAATAGCAAGGTTAAAACTAGATCTTATTGTTATTTAAGCCCGATTTTTCTTCTTTTATGCTAATATAATTAATCAATTACCTAACACTCTATCAATACAGCGCTAAGTTTTTTATCAAAACTACGCTTGTTTTAGCTTTATATTCTTACAATTGTCCGCTTGAAAACATTTACAATCTGAATATTGTCGACCAGCTATCTCATAAGCCTCCTTCTACAGGGCAAGTCGAACTTTATTAATCTGTCATAAAGTATTGTGCTTTGTAATTTTGTCTATTTATATAATCATTATAATTTGTTTTATGTATTTATTTAGTACCTTTAAAAGAAAATCAAATATTATGGATCCAACACCAGGTACCAATGTTACAATAGACACTCCTTTAATACAAATATTTTTAAATTATGCAAGGATGGAAAAATTAGAAGTTCGTAGTGATGTCGTAAAGACATTCTGGAGACTTTTTACATCTGCTAATCTTATTTTCAATAAGGATGAATTTATTATTAGTTGCATACCAAAGTTGTTACCAAGGTAATTAAACTGTAAATACTAATACATATATCATTATTTAATATTTCATATTATATATTTATTTGCATTTATTTTTTTTTTTTTTTTAGTGTTTGGGAAGCATTGGCCCCTATAAATGATGGATCATCTGATCTAATATTACAATTATTGATAAGAATTGTTTGGACGGATCCTCGTTTCTTTCTTACTTCAGTTAGTAAAGTGTTTGAACATCCAAACTGGGAAATTCGGTAAATTACTTTGCTGATTTATATTACTTATAAAGAATTACTATGTGTATATATACAGGTATTGTTAGATCTTAAGATTTTAATAAAATCACTTGTAAAATTTTTAGCAAAATTTAACCTAAACTACATTTTTTTTATACTCTAAAAACTATTCTTACTATAATATTAAACAGAATTAATTTTTACTTATAAAAGTTGATTGGATATATGAATATTATTAACTATAACCTGAAATGATCATCATCTCAATGCTATATCTCAAAAACGGGACTAAGAAACAGGGTCATATATACTAAGTAAAAATGTTCAGAACCCTCCAAAACCTCATGTAACCTAAATTTGGGATATTATATCTAACCCCTATCTAGGTCTTAAATTGCACCCCAACTCTAAAACTAGTGAGGTGTTGATCATCTTAGGTTATTTTAATTATATTTCTTAAAATATTATACAAATTTGCAAATTAATTAATTAATACGCTTGTATATATATACTATATATCAACTAAGAAATTTTCTTGCTTATACCAAATTTGCTAAATTTAATTAATATTAATTAGGTTTGATGGCCTTGACAATTTATTTGGACTATTTGCAAAACTTGATGAAAAGTTTGAGGTTGCCAGGGCTGGCGTATTTGCTTATTTAGGCCCTATCTTTAGTTATTTTGTTGGTTGTATCTGGGATCAAGAGGTCTGTATTTGGTTATTTTTATAAAATATTTAATTTTAAATTTTTATTTACAAAATTTGAATGTATTTTTAGGAATATGTTAGAACAAAGGCTATAACTTATATTAGAGCCATGCAACCACAACATGTTTATTTAGCCATTAAATGTTGGGATGCATATTTCAAAACAGCTTCTAACCGAGAGAAAACTTTTTTATGCAGATTAATGATAAAATTGAATGCTAAGTTTCCAGACTGGAAAGGTATTTTTTTAAATCTTTAATGTGTATGTTGTAAGCAGAGTGGAATTTATTTAAACGAATTTGATAAATTTTTGATAAATTTTAATGTTATACTAAGGTTGATATTGAGTATAGATTTATATAATTATGAATATCTAAAGATTAGAATTAATTATTAAGAAATTCGGAATTCCATTCCAACTTACAACATTTATATAGACTTTTTAGTAGTTCAAATAATTAATAAATATGTGATTTCATATATCATATCTAAAATTTTGTAGTTATTGAGTGGGACACATTATTAAATTTCTTGTCTCAAGAAAATATTGAGGCTGAAGAAGTGTCTACAACAGATATATTGGTAATTTTTCTTACATACTTTGATGTCAAAAACTTTGTATCCTTGTATACTAGTTTAGATTTATTTTATTCATTATAGGAAAGTTATGTTAGGCCAGACAGCATATTAGTTGTTGGATTAAAACGAATCCAAGCTGAAGACTCTGGCTCAACTCCGGGGCAGAGAGCTGCTGAAGAGCAAAATTTAAAGGTAGTTAACCTTTATTATATATAATTGATATGTTTTACAAAGAATATTATGTTGACAAAAATTAAATTATGATAATTAATTTATTTAATAGATTGTAATGTTGTCTTTAGCCCTCCAAATGTTAGCTAATGGTATTGAGATAACGCATGATCAAATAACCACTTTAAATTACATGGTAGTATCAAACCTTGGATTTAAAAATTGTAGATTAGATAAAGTTGATGGAGTTTTAAATGTACATTTTGGAGAATTTGAATATATGCCTGAGGATTTTGCTCAAAATATGAAAATGGTGTCAATTCTCGGAAATCTTAAAAGAGTACTTGACACACCAATATATCTTAAATCACAAAGTAATGACGATGAGGTTATAGATGATGATGATGAGTTGACTGGTTCATATTTCATTGATGCTGTATTGGCGATGGTCAACTCTTCAGTTGATATGTCTAGTTTGAGCCATTTTATGTTGAAAACTTGGATCGAACTATTGCTCATTATTGTTTATAAGGTAATTATTTTGCATAATTTGGTTCACTTGCTAAAGATCGGATTGTAAAATACCTTTTGCAATTACAGCATAAAATAGTTCAGGATAAATTAGATAAAGAATATCTCAAAGAACGAGAAGACAATTTAATAAATGCCATAAGAAAAACATTCGAACTAATACCAAAAAATATAACAGAAGAGAATAAACAACTAATAATCGAACTATCAACATCGTTGCTAAAGCGAGCGCATATGTTAACAGTTACTATACTTGGTACACAAATTATTACGACAGGGAAACTTTTAACGAAACACAAAAATGATACTAATAGTACGTTAGTTATGAGTGCAAGAACATTTTTAAGAACGGCATTTCTCAAATTTGCGAGGAACGGACTGTTTGTTTTGATTTTTAAAGTATGTTTGTAATTTTTTCTGTGATTCTATAATAAACGGTTTATCAGAATTTGTTTTTTAAAACTAGGATCAAGCAGTTGCAAATGATGACGCCGAAGAACTTGACATATTTAAGGTTCTTCAAGATGTAATTCGTGATGAACAAATAACATCTGAAGATGCTTCGGGACCAGCTTATTTGCGAGATGAACCTGTTCGTGATGTTTTCAATCAGCTATTCAAGTTTACGAATAAGTCTGCTGTCTCATCCGTTCTCCGTAGTTTGAATAAATATGTAGAATTGGTGCATTCTAAGTTATTTAATGATAAATTGATTGACGGTAAGCGAACTTATAACATATTATGGATGCCTCCAAGGGAAATCTGTCATTGGGTTTCAAGTTTATTGCTTATCGGACTCAGTCAGTCTGATTTTTTTTATAAATAAATACTTTGTATTAAATTAGAAGACACTTGCATCTTAATACAACTTGAAATTAAAAAACATGCACTTGGAGGGAGTCAAATGCATATTATTTTTTTATTGATTAATTGGCATTACATAATTTTATAGATTTGGGAGCATTCTTAACAAAATTATCTAAACATACAAGTGAATGGAAAGCAACTGACTGGGATGTAAATCCTGTGCTTAATATGATTTCTATTATATTTAGAAACAATCCTAATTCCGTAAAGGTGAGAAAGAGTTACTTCCCGAAATTCAAACTCATAATGTGATTTTTACTATTATTTATCTATTTCAACTTGTATTTTGAACCTATTGCATAGAATATAATGACATCTATTAAAGGCTTTTTGAAATATACAATCAATAAATGTGCTGTAACTATCGAATCATTTATAAAACTAATGGCTTCTTACAAGGCGGTAGTCGAAATCATTTCTCCCGATGATGTCAAAACTAATGCCTTTGGAGAAGTTATCCTTGAAGAACTCAAAACTTCTCTTCGTGGGGCTAGGATAAGAATGAGTAGAGATACTTTGATAATTTTGTTGCAGGTATGAAAATATTTTATTATTTAAATGCATGTTCCTGTTCTTATTCACACATTAATAATTAATAAATTCCATTTTATGTTTATTAAATAGCTCATATTATGGGATATGCAACCTTCAATGCATAAATTATTTCAGGATATCGAACAAAAGTTTGGTGATTCGAAAATTCCTCAACATTCTTATTTTTCAAATGTTTCGGACAATTTGTTTGATGATTGTGTAAACTTTTTGGAAAGTCCTCCTGCAACAAAACAATATTCAGAAAAAGAATTTGAAGTAGGAGTGTGTATAAGCCAGTTGGTAGTTTCCATGTGTAATCAAAATTATGATTTGCTCTCCAAGATATTTTTATGGCAAAAAGTAGGCACTTTTTCATATATTTATTCTTCACGTTTGTGGTGAGCGAGAGTATTGTTAATTGCTGGATTTAATTTATTAATCATTCAATAGCAAGCAGATACACGTACAATCCGTCTTTTAAATTGGATTCTTTTAGGAATTTCGATGACAGATACTTCCACAGGTTTAATTACCACAATATTTGATTTCCAGGATAGTATCGCCGATCTTCTCTCACATACATTAATCCAACCATTTAACGAAATCGTTGCAACAGATCAAAATTATTTATATACACAGTCAGGAGAATTAGCTTACCAGTCATTTGTTTTAATTAAAATTTGGACAATTTTATGCTTCAAAAAACAATCATCATTATTGACAGTTCATTTTGGTCAACAAGATAAACCTAAAATTGTAGGGGCTCCAAGAATACATCAAAAACTTACAGCATCTTTGGCTACGGTAGAGAGAAGGTTTTGGAATTCTATCTGGCCTAGCATGAAGAAACAACTAACAGGAAGCATTATTGATAGAGAGGTTCAAGTAAGCAAATATCAAAAAGATGTCTTATATTAATTAAATCATTAATCTTGTTTATTTTTCCTTTTTTTTCAAAAAGCCAAATGGCATAGCATATTGGGAGATGTTTATGGATCTAATAACATTTTTACGCTTATGTGGGTCTGATATTATAATGTTGTATTCCCAAGAATGGTACATGCTTTTGGATAACCTTGAACCTGAGGTAATTACTGCTTTTACCTTCGTTCACCTTCAAATGAACTCCAAATTTATCACTATATAATGAATGAACATTTCATGTTTTTTTTTTTTTTACTAGCAAGAATCACCTACAACGGCACAATTTTACCAAAAAGTCAAACAAGTCAATGCAATGTTTGATGATCCACCATTAATGATGCAGGAAGATACTTTATCGCAACAATTGTTCTTAGAAATGAGAGAATCTATGAGATTGTATTGTGAAATTAATAATGCTGCTAGTAATGTAAGATTATTCGGTTCTTATTATTAGGGTGTAGACTTGTAATTTTATATTGTATAAAAGGGATTTAAACATAAAGCTTTTGATTTATTTTCTATTTATTTTATTTGTATTCAATTTTGTAATATTAAGTGTGTATTTTAAAATTTAGCTTTTATATTTATTCCTATAAATCCCAAGACTCAATGAAAAATCTTAAATTATAATTTCTAATTTATATCATCATTACCTTGTAAATCGACTTGACCTGAGAAACGTTAAAATAAACAAATTTTATACGCATTATTTGACAGTAACATTAAAAATGATTGTTTTTAGAGTCTCAATATCAAATACCTCTTTATCGGCAGCATTGATAGTTCCCCTAATTTATTCTAGCTTAAATGTTTACTTTGCATTGGTAAAGTCAATACTTAGAATTGAACCCAATATGGTTAGGAATGGCTGGTTCAGCTTGGTTCAGCTTAAAAAGCCGGCTAAAGCCAGCACAAGTCGGCTTAATTTGTTTTATATAATTAATATTTTTAGTTCTGATTCAAAGTTAGCAAACTAGTTTGAGTTCAATATGTTACTGTTATTGCTTATAAAATTGTATATAGAATTTTTTATTAATATTTTTATTAAACATAATTTAGAATCTATAACTAGAGATAATAACAATAGTAACAATCAGTTATGATATAAGAATTTGTTAAAAAAGAATTTTTGACTATCAAAAAATTATACTAAAATTTGGTTTAATTTATTTAAATCTTAAATATTTTTATAGTAAATTTTGTGTTTTTTTGCAAAAATATAGCAGACATTTTTTGATTAATTTTTATAGATAGTTTATAATTTTACAAGAATTGATTGGCTAATAGACCTATACTAAAATAAACTCAAAGTAAAATACACAATATATGGACTAGGTGCTAAGAAAAGAAATGAAATTGACAATTTTTTCAAACCTATTTTTTTATATAAATTAATTTAAAATAAACTTAAGATAATTTTTTATTTAAGATTTAAAAGTAATTATGTTAATAAAATTTTCTAATATAGTTCCTTAAAATTTGTATTTTTTTATAATTTATTATAAAATTTACAACATAAAATTAATTTTTTAAAGATCTTTTTTTGTCAATTTTATTTCTTTTCTTAGCATCTAGTCCATATAATATAATTAATTATTGTGCTTTTCAATTTACTGTAATTATCAAATGATTAACCATCATATAGGAATCTTTAAAATTCCTTAAATTTAAGGCTTTTTCTGCAAATAAATCTAAATTTCTTGCTTAAAAATAAAAATTTTCAAAATTTCTTTTCTATTTTTGCTTTTTCAATACTACATCTATCAATACACAAAAGTTAGTTGTTTGTACAGCTGAATAATAACAGGAATTTTGTTCCTTTTTTTTAAATCAAATTTGAAATTGTAGATTATACTAATGCTAAGTTGTTATATATTTTACTAAATAAATTACTATGATTATAACTACATTTATTATAGTAATGTTTTATTGAAATAACATTCTTTATATTGAATAATTTCTTTGTATTATAATGATTTTTGACTATAGTTATAAATTATACTGATACTAAAGTGTTTTTTTTTACTAAATATGTTACTTTAGTTATAATAATATTTGATTATTACAATAATTGACTGTAATATTATTCTATATATAAAACAATTTATTTATTTATTTATTTTGTATTATACTGATATTTGACTATCCCTTAGATTGTAATACAGGCAAATTTGTCTGCGTAATTTTTTTAAAATTAATTTTTATAATAAAATTTTAACAATTAATTTTAGCAATATA